TTCACAGTCCATCATTTCCATTCGGTCATTTCCGCAAACTTCCGTCATTTATCCTTCATCATTTCCGGATTATTCATATTCGTACATTTCCGAACAATTCCGTCTTGAATCCATGTCGCTTCACAGTCCATCATTTCCATGTGGTCATTTCCGCGAATTTCCGTTCCGTCATTTCCGCCAACTTCCGTCACATACACTTCATCATTTCCAGATTATTCATTATCGTGCATTTCCGAACAATTCCGTCTTGAATCCATGTCGCTTCACAGTCCATCATTTCCGTTCGGTCATTTCCGCAAACTTCCGTCATTCGTATGTCATCATTTCCGGATTATTCATATGTGTGGATTTGCAATAACTCCGTCTTGCTTCCATTTCGCTTCAGAGTCCATCATTTCCGAAATATCCGTCATTGATATTTCATCATTTCCGGATTATTCCGTCGTCCTCCCGTTTTGGCCGGCCAGCCCGAACTTGTTCCAGGCTTCTTTTCTTTATAGAGACTGAAACTCAACAGTATGTGCTGTTGGGAATAAAACCCCTAAGCCTTGAATCCATACTTAAAGCCCTGAGCTCTTACAGATTTTTTGTAGTTCGAACGCCAATCTCCCGCCAAAGCAGGCCGTGTCCCTGGCCGAGCTGATCCGAAAAGAACTCGGGAGGCCTGGGGTGGATTAAAGGCTTCCAGCTTGCCGCCGAGTTTCAGCGTATAGGGCTATGACGCTATGGGGCTTCAGGCTGTGGGGTTCGCAGTAGGAGCCGGACCAGCCCTTGTAACTTTTGGGGGCCTGTTGTGTTTAGGGCTGAAGGCTTGTAGGATAGGGCTCCTGGGGTCCTGCGCTGTCTGAGTGCTGCAGTTGTTGCTGCTAGTGATGCCATCACTATTGGAGCATCTTCACCGTTGGCTTTTTCGCCGATGCTGCCTGAGTTCTTGAATGTCTTTCTTTAGTTCTCGAGCTGTCATGTAGATTCCCTTACGAGGAGCTCTTCAACCCGTTGCACAGATCCTTCACTGCTGTATTTCGACCGTATGCTCTTGCCAGCAGCTCCGTAAACAGTGTTTTGTAGGTTGTAGTTGTCGCCAGGGTCGGCACTGGCTCGTACTCTTGCTGTAGGTGGTGATGTTGTTTTCCTGCTACTGTTGCGGGAGATCAACATTTCCGCATAGAGATCAACTTTTTCGGCCTAAGCTTCAGTAAGCATTGAACATGGTTCGTTCTCTACGACCGCCATCTGGCCCACAGCGTCCAGAGAACCTTGAGGATAGCAAGCCGTTTCTGATGTGATTTAGTTCTAACGCTAAGACGTCTTGTCAGTCTTGGTGCGAAATTCACAGTCCATGACCATCGTCAGTGAGGGGTCTTGGAAAGATTTCAGGACCCTTGCAAGGTTGAAGCCTCTGAAGCTCCAGGATGACTCTGGGGCCAATGTTCAGAAGGAAGCTCCTGTCTAGATCAAGTGGCTTCTCTTTTCCATTGCTTAGGATTTCCTAATCCGGACGCTTGAGTCTGTGGTCCAGCTTGGTGTACAAGGGTGGTGAGGCTGTAAGAACCCTGAACTCTGCTATGGGCCATTCTTCTTCTACAAGACCTCCAACACTCCGCTTTTTGACCGGGCACTGCAAAATGCAGAAAAGCTTGATTTCTGAAACATCAGTTCGACGTGCAAAGAAAAAACTCAAAGTTGTTTCGACACCCAAGCAAGGCTCCAAAGTCTGCGGTCTGCAGAAGGGCGTTGAGTAAAGACACGAAGCAAGCTCCTTAAACGCACCAAAACAAAGCAGTAGCCTCTGAAGCCGTATTTCTGCTGCCGCACGCCTATGCAGGTCTGTCTCGGTGGCGGTGCAGTGGCAGCAAAAATTGCGCAAGGGACTTCGACTGTTGCATGTCGCTGGTTTCTGTTATTTACCAGCTAGGACAGCTAGGGATTATTGTTGTTCAGACAAGAGTCTGAGTTTTTTGAGGAGAAGCCTTCGTGCTGTGTCAGGATGTCCTGCGATGTTCCACTGTCGAGGACCTGCACCGGCACAGAGTGACGACGATAATGATGCCGTACTCATATAATCTTGTAGTCTTGTTGTATCTAGGCACATAAGGAGCACCACCGCGAAATCAGAAAATCTCATTGAGGAGATGGGTACCAGATAGTGTCCCGCTGCCAAGATTGAAGGCTTCGGGGATAGAGATGGTCCTTGATGGACGCTTGTTCAGGAGTTTCATGGCATCCAAGGCGGCTTCAGCATGATTCGTCACCTACAGTTCTGCACCCTAAACCCTTCACACTCGGACAATCCAGGCGAGGCATCTTGGCTCAAGGCTGAACACGTGGCAAATTTGCAGACTCGAGGAAACACCTCTGCGTGTTGCAGCTGAATAACCTTGCTCAAGCCATCTCAAGCCTTTTCCAGGAAGCGACAGCTTGCAAGCGTGTCGGGTCGCATCAGCAGTGGCTCACAAAGGATTGCCTTAACATAGCGCTACACAGCCCATTAGAGATTACGTGCCCCCGGGAGAGAGCGAGTAGTGGGGATTCGCGATCCTAGGTCCTAGGAACCTTCACGATTCCGGTGTGAACGAGCACAGCGAGCCAAGGTACACTTCAACACCGACGAAGTTTTCGCTACAACCCTCTTAACTATAATTCTATTCCACACTGTAAATGGCAAGCTATGCTCAGTTGACATAGTCGCCAAAATGGCATTTTTGAGTTCAAAGGCCCAGGATGTGACAGACTCCACAGTCCAGGCTGCATCAGTGCGGTTATTTGGCTTGTTGGTGATGCCGAAAGCTCCATCCACCGCCTGCCGAGCTGTTCCTCCGGCACAGAACTTAGACGTAGACTGAGGCCGCTGCATGAATTATGAATTCTTCTTATAAGCTTTGCTTGCATCCAGGCATCGCTGCATAATCAATTCCGCATTGGTGTCGCAGAAAGTCAATCTCGCCTCGAAAGTTGTCACGCTGTCCAACAACGACCACCCTTTTTGGCCGGTGTCTTTCCGAAGCAGCAACAGCTCCAGCAACCTGACAGCATCGCTTCGTGTATAGCAGTCTGCCATCGGCAGAGAAACCATTGACACAACTTCCGCTTGGCTGCTTCAGGCCTTAAGACTTTCGCCCATATCCCTTCAGCTTCTTCGAAGAAAGTACTCAAAAGGATACCAGCAAAAGCGTCCACCACGTGCGGTTGCTTCAGTCCGATCCATGGCATCGGCTTTGACAGGGGCTCGTGGCTTTCAGGGTGATACGGCGACAATATTGTATTTAGGGGTCAAGCAATATGCAACACATGGACCCCGAGGACATGTGTCGCCATTTGGAGAGGCAGTGTTAAAACCTCATAGCACATCGGGTTCATAGGGAGAGGGGTCTGCCGTATGAAATAAGCAGGACCGACATGTAAAAGGACATGATGAGACCATGACAATGAATGGGAGGAAGACTGGACCCCGACGGCACAGCCAAAGCGATGTTGTGTGTATTGCACACAATGGAGCGCCCCTTGCCTGTTCCACCTGGTTTAGGGTTTGCATGCTTACTTAAAGTATCCAGGGAGGACAAGTGTGGCCTGGGAGTAGCACTTCGGTGCCTACGCTTCCGCGAGCCAGAATTGCAGGACTTAGGGCATCCTCCTTGGGTAGTCTCATTTTCGTTGATCACGAGGAAAGCAAATTTGGACAAAAGGTTTACTTAGCCTTTGTCATTATTGGTGGTGCCTCCAATCTCCTGTGGGCTCCGGCCCTGACTAGTCTGGAAGCGCCCGAGAAACTAGGAGCCTTTCGGCAATGGACTGAATAGAACAACTGTGTTCCGAAGGGCATCGTTGGAGACCAAGCATTTTTCACCGATAAGTTCATGGCTTACTACAAGTTTCATGGAATCACTCCATATCATTCCATATCCTTGTGGACCTCGTACTCCTTGGCCGAATCGTGCTGAGACCGCTGTGCATTTGTTCAAACGAACTTGGTCGATCATGGCTAAGTCTTTGGCTGATGAAGGTTATGCAGAGAAGGTTACTGTTCGTCAAGCAGTCAAGAAGGTGCTTGGGCAAGAAATTGCCAACTGACCGTCTCTGGCTATTTGGAGATAGCTACCGGGAGACGACCGCAAGACTTGTTTGAAGTGAGACGAGCGCTCCCGAACAGCTCTCTGTTGACCCAGCCGAAGAGGACAGGACCACTCTGGATCTCCAGAGGATTGCCATGAGGATGAGGGCTCATCAAGAAGCTCGACAGTCGTTCGATCTCTGAAAGGACCTTGCCCGGCGTGCGATGCCGTGTGATGGTCCGTACAAGAAGGGAGATCGTGTCTTTGTCTGGGGAGTCTGGCACAAAGATGAGTCCAAGCAGAAGTCCGAAGGCGTCTGGGTCAGAGGAGTTGTTGTGTCACAAGAAGGTGCCATGGTGTTGGTGGAAGTGCATCGCACTGTTCTTCGAGTGAATCAGTCGAAGGTCAGACATGATCACGATCCGTGGCATGACGTGGCCATTCCTTTGAAGTCTGATGACGGTCCAAGAGGCCACTCGCAGGATGGGGTACTTGAACGGATTGGCGATCAGGTTTTTGAACGTGCTTCGTCTGGTTATTGCTGCTACGAAAATGAAATCTGTTACCGTTCGCTTACTTCAGGAAAGAGTGATTTCGTTGAGATCTCGCTTCATTCAGGTCTCGTCTCGAGTGAACCTGTGTTGTTTGGTGAATGGTCTTTCAAGACTTTTCAATCGTCGATTGGTTGTGCCTGGAAGGCGATCTTAGCGGCTAAGCCTGATCACATCATCATTCACCCAGTCATTCCTGCAGAATGGACTAAGAAATCAGCGCGTGCCTTTTGGCGTTTCTGTGCTGAAGTGAGCCGTTGGCAGGATGATCCGAGGATACGTTGTCACCATCATGTATCCTCCTCTCTCTGGGTTTTGGTCGTTTCAGTGTAGTCGCTCTTTGCAGTGGCGAAACAACGTACGACGTTCTGCACTTTCAAGAACAAGGGGGAACGAGCACATGGCGAAGTGCCTTGTCTCACGAACCTTCCTGAAGGATCTTTGGATCGTCTTCGATCCTCGGTTCGTCGTTTTGCTCTCCCAATGTCTTGTTGGTAACAGATACTCCGATCTGAGACAAGGTTACTTGTCTGAAGATCTTTTCGAGGACTTTGATGATGGATCTCTGTGTGCCTTGTGTTTGCGACCAGATCGGCATTCTGAGGCATTGCCTGTTCTTCCTTCAACTGAGGAGTACTCGCTGCAGTCGAATGCCTCAAAAGGGAAGCTGCCGCAATCGCTTCAGTTTGTCGCTCCACAGCGTTTTGTTACTTCGTCTTTGGTCCAGACTCTGTCACACATTGACAATATGCTTCAGGGTACTGAGTTGGAAGTTCACACGAACAATGGAAAGACGCTTCCACTGGTTCATCGTCATCCTGATGCAGTTGTCATCTTGTGGAACAAGGGTGATCATGACCGTATAGTTTGCCTGACGATGTCGCAGCTCCTTCCATGTCTCAAAGTCAAAGACATGAAGGCAGACAGTTGGTTCATGATTGTGTTTCGGAACGAGTCGAAAGGTCCGACTGTGCGTCGGGGGCTTGATGTTGGGTTGGATTTCACTGATCAACCTGCGCCAACTCCCGAAGTGCTGCCACAACCGCCTGGCGCGGGAGACGATGTGGACTATCCCGGATACGAAGATCTTCGCGGCGAAATGCCAGTGGATGATGAGGATATGCCGCCACCTCAGGGCCAGCAACCTGAACCGGATCTTGACGATGATCCGATAGAGCTTGGTGCCGGTGGTGATCCTCCTTCCATTCCTCCCGGAGTCCGCGCGCAAGTCCCGGTACCGGGCAGGGATTCAAACCTGGAAAGGCCCTAGCTAGGAGCCGAATAATGGCGGAGGACCTCCGCCGAAAGGCGGTTTACACGGATCGGGACCTGGTTTTGGGCCTTCGCCTAACGAGCAGCCTTTGCCTACGCCACCTCCTCCTGAGGTCCGTCTGGTACTCCTGGTGCTGTTCCGTCGGGATCAGGTCTTAAGTCCGAAAATGCCGTGGCCTGCGCCAGCTACGCCTATCATTCCAGTTCCGATTCCGCCGCGTCCTCATTTTCCAGTTCCGCAAAGTCTTCGACCGCTTTCGCCGCGGAAAGTGTCACAGACGCACTCGCCCGGAAGATAGGTCTACGGCTAAGTCGCGGATGGTGCGCCCATCCGGTCCTCCGGTGGTGTTGTTGCCTGGAGTGGGCCGGAAGGAGAGATCTCCTATTCAGCAAACACCCATCCCAGAACCCGCCCCGGAACCTCCTGTGCCGGATGCGGGTGGCGAGTCGGATTCTAATGCAAGCGTTGATTACCGTGACGACCTCTTGCTTGCTGTTGCTGTTGGTGACGAAGATGTTCTGATCCGTTGGCCTAAGAACTTTGCGGTGCTGTCGTTTGTGCCGTTGGATGGTGACGGGTTTGCGTCTTGGTTGACCAAGCAAGACAAAATCAAAGCGGGTACCGTTACACCTGAAATGCAGCGTAAGTACGCGAAGGAGATTCGCGCGGCTAAGTTGGCAGAGATTAAGAGTGTTACTTGTGCAATGATGCTATCCGGCTTACCGACCGCCGCAAGCTTGGGCGTGACCTCAATTTTCTGACCGGGCGTTGGGTCCTTACCGTCAAGGTTGACGAGAACGGTTACTTTTCCAAGTTCAAAGCCAGTTGGGTCTGCCGCGGTTTGCAGGACAAGTTTGCCTGGGACCAACTAACGGACAGTCCTACGGCCATTCGTTTTTGGGACGTTTTTCATTTGGATCTCAAGACTGCCTTACTTCAGGGGGGAACACTACAATTTGTCATCTCAATCGGTCGTCGTTCAGTTGCCTCCGGACATAGGTCTTCCACCTTGGATGCTTGGGTTGTGCCTTCGTCCAGTTTACGGTTTGAACGATGCGCCACGAAGATGGTGGAACCGACTTGACAAGTTCCTTCGGTCGGTTGGTCTCGAACCTACTCGAGCTGACCGACGCACGTATGTCGCATACGATGGCGTCGAAGGCTACAAGGGTAAAAGCTACCTCTCCACGGGAGCCACAACCTCCTGGTTATCTCAAGGAGCTTGCCCTTCATGCAATGTCATGCTACGCATATGACGAAGAAAGTCGTTCTACCTCCGACCACACGGAGGAAATATCCTGTTTGTCATGCCCAGACATTGCTCAGTGCTTTACACCAGCGCTACGAAGAAGATGGTTGACTATGCTTGGAGACCTGTGAGCGATCAAAAGCTTCTTAGGTTCTTGGGCAGTGTCGTGTGTAAGAAGAGCGGCTGGTTCCCTTATGAGAACGGACATGCTCTGATTTCGCACAGGGCTAAAGCTCTCCGTAGTCCAGCATCTGTTTACCAGGTTGAGGACTATCCTTACCGTGTCTCGACGATGCTCCGGAAAGGCACTTGGTGGATTGTCGAGCGGCCCCATGACTTGAGACAAGACAGTAAGCCCTGCAATCTTGAGGAAGAGGCTGAAGTCTTGGTCTTGCACGAGAAAGCATCGTACAAGGTCGAGACCTGTCTGAGCTCTCTCCCGAGCTTGTCGATCAGTTGCTTGAACACTTTGTTGATCCTGTGCATGGAAGTCCCAGCAAAGGCCGAAAGACAGTTGGAGTTATGAGTCTCCACGTGGATGATCTCATCGTCAGTGGAACTCAAGAGTTCCTCACTTGGTTCTTGAAGAAGATAAGA